TTGCTAATTTCTTACTTCCAGTGGTTTAAATGGAATCTATTGAGATGTTTCTTTTTCTGGCTCTGGAAACAACTAAAATCTCCTTATATTTATAAAGTAGGCAGGAAAGGGAAAATTTGAACACTACTTAGGCAACTTTTTCAAACTTTCTACTTAAAGGTATAGTCAAGGGAACTTAAATAGCTTGAACAAAGCTCGAGAGTGTGTGGTAATGAAAATGATAATGACAGCTTCTCCTCAATTAAAATCTTTTTGTTGTGTGTGTCCTTGGTTCAGCAGTAGCAGTCATTTTTCTCAGTCTTAGTAGCTGGTGCAGTGCTGTGTTTTTGACTTTCAGCCTGGGAAAAGTGCTGATAACACTGATGTTTTTAGTTGCTGCTCAGTCATGTTTACTCTGACCAAGGACTTTCTGAGTCTCATGCTCTGCCAAGGAGGAGGGGAAGCCGGGAGGAAGCAGAGACAGGACACCTGACCCAAACTAACCAAAGAGGTATTCCATACCACAGCACATCATGCCCAGGATGTAAAACTGGGGGCAGTTACCTGGATTGCTGCTCAGTCAGGCTGGGTATCAGTCTGTGGGTGGTGAGCAGTTGTATTCTCTTCCCTTGTTGTTTCCCTTATCATTATTATTATTGGCGGTAGCAGCAGTGGTTTGTGTTATACCTTAATTACTGGACTGTTCTTATCCCAGCCCATGGGAGTTACATTCTTTCAATTCTCCTCCCCATCCCTCTGGTAGTGGGGGGAGGAGGAAGGGAGGAGTGAGCAAGCGGCTGCGTGGTTCTGATTTATGGCTGGGCTTAAACCAGTCAAATTTTCAGGAAAAGAATAGAAGAGAGTGGGGATGACTGGACAGCCCAGTGCATGATCCTAACTGCTAATAAAAAGAAAGAGGTGGTCAGTCAGGTTTCCTTATCTCTGTGGGAGGTGATTGTAACTGCATCTTTAGCATAATCCTGCCACCCTTTAATTCTTAGAGCATCCCCTATTTCTGGCAAAGGAAGTATTTATTGCAACATATTTAGAAGGAAATATGGGATTTTGAATTTACCGTTATTTGTATGAACCAATCCCCATGGGACAAATACATTCCCAGCAAATCCTACCGGGGACTTTGCTTCAACCACAGCAGAAAGCACAGAACGAGCATCTTTTTCTAATTAAAAACCCGTCAGAGGTCACTCTAACTCATGAGATTTACACTTCATATTCAATTCATTAAAATAAAATTGTAGCAGAAGTTCAGAAGGGTCTATTAGGTGACTGTTGTCTTCAGTTGTATTTGACTCCCTTGCAAGGAAAGGAAAAAGGGCACAGCATTTGTGTTTTATAAGATAACGTGTCATAGCTGTGAGCAGGGGTGATCCATTGTCCTAGACTTGTGCGGGATTTATTTCACTATACTGAGAAAGCCAAGTGAAAATACTCACAGAGAATATAAACTCCGGGTGGTTTCTTTTTTCCCATTTTTTTTTTTTGTTATGTTGTTTTGTTTTAGCTGTGCTCCTGTAGTCCAAGGCCACCTCCAAGGCTTCCCACTCCCTGAGTTGAATGGCCGCAGGCAGCTCATTATTATGACTTGTGCTGCTGTCTTCAGCATTTTAAAAAGTCTTTTTCTATTTCCTCAGCAATAAGAGTGTAGTCATCTCTACTGCGACTCTTAACCCTTTTAAAAAGAATTTCTGTAAAAATCATCCGTCAGGGGCCTCAGCATGGGCTGTACGTGCTCTTGCTGTGAAACAAGCACACCACCTTGATGAGTACCTGGAGAAAACTACAGTGGCTAGTACATGTTGGCAGGGTCCCTAGCCAGGGCAATGGCATGGATTCTTACCCTGGCATTATGGAGAAATGATTTGAGATATACAGTATTTCAGTTGAAAGGGACCTACAATGATCATCTAGTCCAGAACTAGGAAAGTCACTTTAATTCTCTTCTTTAATTCTCTCTTAATTATACTGTCTCTCTCCTTTCTGGAACATTAGCCTGTAAAATGTTTTAGATTCAGCCTCATACAGACTAACTGAAGAGGCTAATGAAGCTGTCCCTGACCTTCAGTGCTGCCCAGAGTAGTACATGTTTTAAGGTGATGGGGTGCTGTTTTGTACACTCACCTGTATAGCCCTCTACCTCATTCACAGCACAGCATGCTAGACACTTCTTTAACTTCATATTTGAATCTCTGTAAATACTGCAGGATTTTACATAGTTCATACTGCTTTTATCCTGGACTGCAAAACATCATTTCTGTGTGACTGGAGCAGGAGTTTGGTGTGTCTGTGTGCATGGGACATGACCATACTGCAAGCATGCTTCATTGCTAACCAGTCCCACTTGGGAATGCTGCCAAAGCATAGACATTTTAGGAAACCAAGCATGGCTGCTTTGGTGGTATTGGTCATTCAATTCAATTTCGATGTGGTCTTCTTGCCTTTTGTATTGAATGTTAGTAGTGGGATGCAGCTTAGGCCTGTGGAAACTTTGGATCTACTTTCTCCAGGTCTGCCTCTTTTTGTGGGAAGACTCTTGCTCTGAGGTAGTCGATTCATGAGTAGAGACAGATTTCACCACTTTTAATGACTGCTGTATCTTGGAGATTGGTGTTGTGGCAAGGGTGGCTGAACCTTGTGTGGAGCTCTTGAGCTGTAATCACTTATTAGCTGAAATATTAAAGCAAATCATCATGGACTTCACGCTGATCTAATACACAGGGCCAAAGTTTGTAACAGAACTGGCATATATGTAGTTCCATAGTGAAAAACACATTATGAAGAGGAGTAAGGCCATCAAGGTATTTTAATCACTATGTGGTTTTCAAATGGAGTCCTTTTTCCTTGCTCTGATGTTTAGAAATTGTGGGTGAGCTGACCTGATTTGGGGTGGAGGTCAAGGAAGAATTTTTGCAGTTAGTGGGAAAAAAGCACATGGCAGGAGATAAAGTTGTGTCTCTTTGCTCACTTACTTACCAACTTTAGCACAACTGGTTACAGGAGCTGCTGTAACAGGTTAGGGCACCAATACATTGCTGATTATTCATTAGATGCTTGAAATCAGCATGTGTTTTGTAAGGCAGCAAATTAAGGACTGACTGACAATATCATGTTCATTTGTCTTTAAGAATTTGTCTAATGAAGGGCTTACAACCATGTTTAGGTTTTGTGTATAAAGTTCAGGTGAGGTGTGTAATGTATTCTGATGAATATGGATGAATCGTATAAACTGAGAGGATTTTGGGGATAAATTCAAAACATCTTTGATGCTCTTTGTCTTGAGGATGCCTGTGCTTTGGCACAGACAGGGTAGGCGGGGTAGTTTAAGCTGTGCTGAATTCCTTACTGCTGTGGCCACTGTCACTAGCAAGTGAGCTGCTTAGCGTTTCCATTGACAGTACACAGCAAGCACTGCCCTGGGGATGGACATTCAGACTCTCATTGTTTTGGTAGAGAATGAATAACACTGTTACTTCACAGTACTGGAAAATGTAAATATTGGTGAATAAATCTGATTCTTGAGGATGAATTATTGTATTTACTTCCCTGTCTCATGACATTGAGCAGCTTTCCAGTGAAAATGCTAGTTTGAAAATACAAGGTACTTCATACCAGACCTGATAACTTAGTGTGTTTCTGAGTACCTGGAAGACTTTATGGCATGTTTAATGTTGCATCAGATCTTCTCTACCTACTGTTCATGTTTATCTGCCCGTGTTTATAATAAAATCTCAAACATCTCTTTTATTCTGGGAACTGTGTTACCATTCCCACATATAATACCACAGATAGGAGTTGATCCTTGTGTGGGGACTGTCAATATTTTTCACTGTTTGTATTTTGTCTACTTTTAAAAAATGCAGAATAGAGGAAATCTAAAAGAGTATTGGGTTTCTTGACTTCTGTGAGGAATACGAAATTATTTTCTACTCCTATACCAGAAAAAAAACCTTCTGCCTTGACCCTAATGGGCTCAGTCACTGTGGGGACTTGCATCAGTTCCATCGAGTTCAGAGATTCATCTAATTCATTTGATTAATTCTCCTTCAGGTAAAGAAAATACAGAAAAAGTACCTAAATGGTCATGCCTTCTTTCAAACAATCACTATGCAGTAAGACTTCCTCAGCCTCTTCATTTGAAACTAAGCATCAGCAAGGTTAATTTCAGTTCTTCAGGAAATTATGGACACCCATTCCTAAGGGTGTACCAGTGGAGAAAAATAACTTTTTAACTGACATTTAAAAGTGATGGTGACAGGATAACTCATAAGAGTTTGCATTTCCTCCTCTTCCTCCCCTCCACACCCCCTCCAGTAGAATAAAGAAACTTGGAAAAAATACTGATAGAACACAATAAAAACTGTATATTTGTTACAAGATTTTTTACATCTACGTCTTCTACAACATTTTGTTTACTTCTCTGGTCCTCGTATGATGGTAATTTTTTTCACATGTATGATATTTTTTTATTATGTATGTTTGTATGTCTTTTTATTAACTCATAGCTTCAGTTCTTGCTTGTGAAAATTTGAAGCATGTCTGTAGCATTTCCTGTTCTATTGTCTATAGAATTATGAGCTTCTTGAATCTGATTGTTCTCTGAACTAACTCTGTATCAACTGTTACAGTTCTGCAATCACTGAATTCTTGAGTTTCACTGTTTATCCTCTGTGATTTCTTCTTTAGCTTATGTAAGAATGTACGTTTTCACCAGGTTTATTTACCTCTCTATTATATATATATATATTTTAAGTGAATGCAACAATCTTTTTGGTGTCCTGTGGCAAAAGATGACCAGTAGCCAAACTTAGAAGTGGGATACGCTTTACTCAGCTGTTTTGTGAGAACAAATTACACCATGCTCTAGAGAGAAATGGCTGTCTTTAGTATTGCATCCTAAATGTATAGGTTCTTGTCTCAGTCATGAATATGAGAGAGGAATGTATTTGAACTAACTGAATCAAAAGTTAAACTTACAGATATTTTAGCTTTTTTATTTATTGCAGGTAATTAAAGTATATAGTGAAGACAATACTAGCAGAGCTTTGGAAGTACCAAGTGATATAACAGCCAGGGATGTATGTCAGCTCTTGATACTGAAGAACCACTACATTGATGACCATAGCTGGACTCTGTTTGAACAACTTACCCACACAGGTTTAGGTAAGATTAATACCATACAATTGTATGGCAGTAAACAAGGTGTTTGGTTTTCATTTTCACATAGAAGTATAATTGTTATAGAAAGGCTTGGAAGCTAAATGATGGAGGACTTGTGTGAATTTATTCTTTTGGGGGCTTGTTGTGTCTGTTTCTCTTTTTGTTGAAAGCATAGCTATAAAGTACATTTTGTCATAGTGCATTTGCCTCACACTACTTTTTTCTGCATCTGTAAGAATGATTTGGAAGATGCTGCCCATTTAAGGTTCTCAATGCAAATTCTTCTTCGTTCTTCCTTGCTTTTCTTTGTCAGTTCTTTGTCTTTTATTGGTATTTCCTGCTTGTCTAGCAAGACAACAAAAGCTTTGCTGTTTCCAACACACCTGAGTGAAATCTCTGACATCAAAGACAGAAAGCAGTTACACTCTGTTATTATATCTGGACAATAGGACTCAGTATTCAAAACCAACATTGAAGTAGGCTGTCAGTATTTTCTTTTAATGCACTCAGTTTGGCTAGATCTATTGTGAACTCTAGGACAGGACTATTTAAAAGGCAGAACAAAACCATTCTTCTAAACTTCCACTTATGGACCAGTGAGCTATGTTGAAGTGATGTTATGCTTAGTATTTTAAGTTGCTGGAAATGAAACACTGAACCCCTTCCACATCATCAGTATTCCTTCATTTTCTGCTACACAGTTTAAAAGGTGTAATCCATGGTTTCACATTACAACCATGGTTTTGCCTTCTGGTCTCTGTACCTTTTTCAAGTGTAGAGATGTAATTTTGCAGTATTAAAACACATTAATATAAATTAATGCAAGGACAAAGGGGATGTTTGCAGAGATGTAAGAAATACAGAACACATGAAAGACTTCACTCAGCAGAAGATGAGTTTAGTAGTCCACTGCTAGGATGTGGTATGGCACTGATACTCTAGTCAATCTTACTTACTTTTACAGCACTACTTTTCAGTTCTGTGTTGTGTTTGGTTTTGATAAGGAACTATATCAGAAAACTTTACTAGAAGACAAATACCATTAAAAAAAAAATCTGCTTTCAATTTCATGTCACTGAAAGCTTCCATATTATTATTTAACTTTGGCACTGTACTAGAGTTACCAAAGATAGTACTTCTGCAACCTCAAAAGCAGTTCCAGCTGCCAGTGCAAAGCATGGCTTGAGAAAGAGAATGTTTTGGGGCCTTCCTGCATCCTAAAACACATAGAAAACTTCTTGGAGTCCTTGATTCTCAGAAGATACTGCACTGATACCTGGCAACTCCAGTACTGTAGATTTTTGAAAAAACACTCACCATCAACAAAAAAACAACCTTTCGCCCCCCCCCCCCCCACTGTGGAGATTTATATATGGCTAAAAGCTATTGTCTTTCTGTGTATTTACCTAGGGAGTCTGGACTTGTGCATTTGTTTAAAATAACTGTGCAGCTCTGACTGTATTATGTTGAACAGCCATATTTTAAAGATGAACTACAAAAGCTAAATCTGTTTTCTGCCCTTTTCTGATCCTTTATCCCATGAAGGCAGTCACAAACATTTTCCAGTTTTTTTTTTGTTGCTTTGTAACATTTCAAAGATATTTAAAACCTTTTGAACTGAATGTATCAGTTGTAAGATGCTTCCAACTCAGAGTAAGGTCGGAGTTAAATCTGGGTTGAGCACTGCTACAGAAGAGGAGATATAAAAACTGGATTTAGACAGCACTACTATATAAATAGCAGTAGTGTTTTCTGTATTTTATAGTGTGGCTGGTGTTTAAGTGGTGTAGCATTTAAGTAGTGTAGCAGCTATTGAAGAAGACATTTCTGGCAAACCATGCCAGAGCAATAGTAGCTCATATACTCTTTGTCAGATAGTGCTTTCTTCAGTCTGGAGGATTTCTTGGAAGATTTCAATATAAAATCATTAGTGAAGTTGCTTTTCCTAAGATTATGAAATCATAAAAATTGCTTGTGTGCTTAGGGCATAATTTTAGAAAGAGATGATCTAATAATTTCTAAAATAATACGATTTCTTAGAATCACAGAATCAACTAGGCTGGAAAAGACCTTTAGGATCATCAAGTCCAACCTCTATCCCAGGACTGCCAAGTCCACCACTAAGTCATGTCACTAAAGGCTGGTTTTTGAACACATCCAGGGATGGTGATTCGACCACTTCCCTGGTAAGGCTGTTCCAGTGCCTGATCACCCTTTTGGTAAAGAAATTTTTCCTAATATCCAGTCTAAACCTCCTCTTATAAATGGCAATTCAACATTACTAAGAGCAACATGAGATTTCTTCTATGTTTTTAATGATACTGAATAATAATAGGTTTATTTTTATGACAGTGTTAGATTGGTTTTGTTTGAAAGACTTAACATATTGATCTTGACTTGCTTTAAGTATGTTCTTAAGCACTGGATGAGTAGTGTGAACAAATATTTTTCAAATGATGATTTAGTTTTGGACTGTTTGCTGTGTTTGTTGTGTATTTTACCCATGGAAATTTGGACAGTCTTTTTCTGCTCCCAAATTAAACAAATAGATATAGAAAGGAGAAATACTGTGAGTGTGTATGTTTATGTAAATTCCAGTATTATGGGGATTAGTAAAGTATTCATCAGTTAGTGAACATTTTCTTTAATACCTAACAGCTGTCTGAATACTTCTGAATTAGACATAATTGCATGAATCGTAGTGAGCTGAGCACAGTGTTCTGCTTTTAATCAAGACAGACATTAATTACATCACTGGAGTGTTCGCTCATTCCTGTGTGGAGGTACCTGCATGTGAAAGTAAAAAAGAAGGAAAAAAATATATTCCACTTAAACCAAAACATAAATCCACAGTCTGTATAGTCCTGTTTTCACAATCCTATGTGCCTTTTAGTGTGGAGCTGTATTGTTGTACGTTAAGCATCGTTGCATCCTCACTATGCTGCATGGCAAGCACTGACCAGGTGGTGTTGACTCAGGGCAAGTGGGCAGGTGAGATGGTTCCTCCACCTCCACCACCTCCCTGAGGCCCTGACTGGTGTACTCCATCTGCCTGCCTTTTGGCACCCATCACAACCCACTGCTTTTGCCCTGTCACCTCGGATGCTCAGTCTTCCTACCCGCCTCCAAAGTTTTGCAGTAGCCTGGGCTCTATTTCAACTATCCAAAGTACAAGAACTATTACAGTACTATAAATCTCAGTGTATTTCAGAACTGTGTGCTTCTGGTATGTTCCCTCTTTGTCCCATTGTCCCAGGCTACTGAATTTGAAGAAATTCATAGATGTTTTTCATCTTGTCTGAGATTATTAAAGGCTGCTGAGGTATGCCTGGATTTGGATGATGCCATGTCATCCCTACCGTTAGGTACCTTGGTGTTTGGGTCACATAATTCCCCTCTACAGACAGGGCAAGCTGTGAAAACAGAAGTTTTCCATAGCTGTTCTCCTTTGAAAGAAAGTACTACCTTCATGCTGAAATTTTTCCTTCTCTAGTGAGAAAGATTGTGTTGACTGTAAACATTTTTCATTTTGCTTCTGCAGCTCTATTGAGCTCTATTGAGCTCTATTGACTTGCATTCTAGGATTCCTCTGTGAGTAGGGAGTAGTGGCTTGGCCAGGCACATCATTGTTATGTTTCACTGTCTTGTTTTGATTTCACTATCTGCATTCTTTTAGGTAGTCTGTGGGAAGGCTTACAAAGCATTATCTGTGCAATAGTACTGAGCAATGGCTTTTCTGGTTTTCATTTGATTTAATTCCCTCCCTGATTTGTGTGGCTAGAGAGACCATTTGAAATACATTCTGTCATGGATTTCAATATTAAAACTTCCATGTGCTTTAGTTATTTTCCATAGTTAAGGAGACTCTGTTTTGGAGAAGGTGGTCCTCACGTTAGAGGTAGTAGTAATAAAGAGATGGTAGAGAAGGGGGCAGAAACTTTGCAGTCTAGCTGGAAGAGAAAAAATGATCTAACTATACCAAAGTGTGGCTTTTTCATGGCAACGTTTAGGGTTTGATTAGAGGGCTGTGTTTTGGAGGACACTAAGTTAGTATTTCGGTTCCTTCAAGAAAGTAAGTTGAATAAAGTGTAGAATATTCTGTGATATGTCACCTTAAAGAAATACCAGCAGCCTTACCCACCCATTGGGGTGATGGCAGAATTTCTTATTTTTGTACCAAGAAGTAAGTCTTGAGGAAATGGTATTTTCTTAAATGTCACAATGCCAAGCATTCAGGAGTTTTAAATGTCATCCCAGGGGAACACTTTCTCTCTATAAAATTGAAAGGAAAAAAAACATGCTGGTTTTGAGGAAGAGCTTCAGTTATTTAGCGTCTCTTGCATCTGAAGAATGTGTTTTGCAGTAGAGCAGCATGTACAACATTTTTCAAAGTCTCACTTTTTCTATTTTGGGGGTATTTTTTGTTTTCTGGTTTTGTGTGCTTCATTTAATACACTTACAATATGTGAGTTTCATGTAGCATCCTTAATTTCTGTCTTTATGGGCTCAGCAATGAGTTAAATTCAGTGGAAGTTTTAACTTTGCCCTGTTTGATCATCAGAGTGCTTTGTCTTATGCCAGTTATGAGCTTGATATTTTCCCACTGAGGTGAAATTTAGCTGTATAAGTGTATTGTCTCTAAATTTGCTAGCTGGAAACTTCCTGAAGAAGCTTATAGATTTGTGGGCTACAATAAAGCTGTTACCCAACAGACTGGACAGTGTGGAAGCATGAAGCAGTGACTAAGATGGCAAGAGAAGATCAATAGAAAGATATTGTGGTTCTAAAGAGGTTTTAATGATTTCAAATGAGTTTCAATTTTTATTTCTTAGGATGTTGTCCACACTACACTTTATAAAAGTTAGGCTGTTTGTTTACCCAGGACCACTTACAAAAATTTACCATTTATATTAATTTAATGTTATGCTTTATTAAATTTTGGTGTTTTTTTTTTTTTAATACTATTATTTTATATGTTAGGACTTTTAAAAACAATTTCTAATAAAATTTTTCTAAGTGAAGAAAATGGGATTAGAGAATTAGGACCATAAAATTGTAAGTTGCATGGGTTTTATAATGAATTTTTAATTGCCTTTTCCTGTTGAAACCATGATCAGAATTGGATTTTAAAACCCCATAACTGGCAGAGAGACGTCAGTTTAGAAGTCAGATTTGTTCTTAACCTGTAACTCGTTGGAGTGTAATTGAAATTTGGAGGTGCCAATGATAATTTAAATACAATCTACAACTTTGTTCAATTCCATCTTATTCTCATTAGTTTGAGTCCACAACAAAATACGAGTGGGCACAAAAACTGTGTGCTCATTTGGAAGCATGTCCATTGTGTTGTTTTTTTTTTGTTGTTTTTTTTTTTTTTTTGTAATATCAATTCACAAGCTGATGAAATGTATCAAAAAAAGGGGGAGGGGGGAAATATGCAGTATTAATAATATTGTAGACAAATTATGCATGTATGCATAGTCTTGAGGATTTATGCTTAACTTTCTGCACTATGAGTAGTTATGTTGCATTACTCAAAGCATGCAACATGTCAACAATCACCACACATATAGAGGAGTTCTTAAATTCTATGTCTTTCCTTTAAGTTCATATCATATGGCTGTAAAATGGAAAAACTCACTCAAGAATCCAAATGGCAGAAGCAGTCTAAAACGGTGAGAATACCGTTTCTGTTTGCCAGTGCTGTGCTACAACTGAATTCTTTGCCTTTTCTTCCCCTCGTCCCACTGCAAAGACAAACTACACATTAGGATTCACTTTGTAGGTTATTTTTGGTTTGGTTTTTATTTTTTCATGGCTTACTTTTACCATTCCTTTTGCATATGCTAGTCCTACAGCTGCTAGGAAGACATTTCCAACAGAAACCACAGACAGGCTGAGTGAATGGCTGAAGTGGTCTCCTGACTGCTGCCCCATGCATCACACAGCTGCCTGGCTGCTGCAGGGAGAATGTGGATTTGGCCACGCAATAGAATAAAGCCTCCAGCTGCCCCTTTAAAAGAAACAAAGCACAACAAACATAACCCATTTGTGACCTACCTCAGAAGTAGGGCCCTACTGAGGTGGAACAGCAGTTTGGTGTAACATGGACCTAAGTAGCAGACCGTGTTCAGGTTGCTTGTTTCATTGTTTGTATTTGTTCAAATTAATATAATAATATTTTTATTACCTGACCTTTGTGTTTCCACATTCTACTCTTAGGCTCTTAAGGTGCAGGTTATGTGGGTTTTGGGTTTGTTTTAATTTGTTTGTGGTTTTTTGCAGGAAGAGCTATAGAGGACCATGAATTAGTAATGGAAGTCCAGTCAAATTGGGTAATGGAAGAAGAAAATAAACTGTATTTTAGAAAAAATTATGCCAAGTATGAATTTTTTAAAAATCCACTGGTAAGTCCTGACATTATAGCTGTGAAGTGGTGCAATTGCTGTAGTTACAAGAAAGTCTTTTCTGTTACATGTGGATAGGCAGAGTGTAAAGTTATTAATGAGTCAAAAGGAGTAACTGGGAAAGAATATATGAGATATAGGAACATACGAGTTGGCCATGTAACTGTTGTCTAGTCCCTTTGTTGCAATTGTAAAACATCCCTGTTCATACATTTAGTTTTTGGAGGGTGAGGGGGCAGACATGCAGACATGGGCTTAACTTTATGGAAGTTTGCACATAGACCTGCAGCAAAATAAAGTTACTGAAATTGAATGAAGTTGCCATCAAGTGACAACAAAACGTAAAATGAAGCAGTATGAGGAGGGGTATCTGTAGCAAAGATGGATTTTATTGTTAAAGTGGAAATTGAATGTTATGGGCCAGTGCTGCCCAATGGCAGCTTCTCACAGCTGCAGCTAAACGACATCTGACACAAAAGACTGTGAGCAGCCATAATCTATTACAAGTAAGTGGAAGTGAAGCCAGAGTTAGTGTATGTAAAGAATGGAAGGAGAGCAGAGACAACTTGTAACTCAAGGATGTTGCCAAAGGTTAATGTTGTTAATTCAGACCGTGGCTGATGGCAAAGGCCGTGGAAGCAGTCCTGGCTCAGCTGGAGAAATTCACTATCTGGTTGCTCAAATGCATGGTGTATTTGGATCACTCCTAATACTGTCTCTTATAAAGCCAGCTTGTTTCAGATGTCAAAGGGAGAAATAGCAGAAATGCATGAGGACTTGAAAGGTGAAAAGTGGAAGGGAACTCAAATTATCTACCTGTGAAAAGGATGAAAAGGTAGATATTAAGATAACAAAAGATCCAAGAGAGCTGAGTTTTTTTTGTTTCTCTGAGCAAATCATGTACTCTCCAGCATAGAGGTATCATTGCACCAAGTGAAAAATTCTAAGCTTGAGACAGTCTATGATTAGCGGAGTAGCTTTCAAAGAAGTGTGTGGTTAACCAGTGGGTGGAACCAGCTGTGGAGTGCTGCAGACATGCAGCTGTGACTAGCATAAGCACCTGTGGTTGTTCAGAGACCCTACTGTTTCTGCTGAGTCATTCTTCTGGGTACTGTGGACCCAGGTGTAGCAGGGATGCTTTATCAGAAATGAGCTGATATGAATCAACCCTGCCAGTAGTTCAGTTTTATTAAAAATAAAGGTCACTGGACATTGGATGGTCAAGGGAATATTAGCTTCAAACTTGTCCAGACCTTGAGAAAACTTCGTAAGTAATGATCAGGTTCTTGTCTGGTTCATATTTGCATGACTGTATTGAACTCCCCAGCTGCAGGTCTGTCCAAAAACTACCCCATGATCTTCCCTTGATAATGAAATTGACACTTTAAATGTGGGCTTTTTAACCATACCATATTGATATAGTCAGATGTAACTGATCTTCATACACAAAGTGGACAGTTAGATAAAAACTGAGAGGACTTATTCTTTATTAATGGAAGTTATTCCAAAATATTTTGCTGGGTTTCTAGTGTAAGGAAATCAATAGAAAATAATGGCATATATTGCCCCTACTTTGCAGCACATTGAACCAGGCAACTCTTATACATCAACAGCAATAGAAATTACTACTAGAAGAACAGCACTAAGGGCCAAGTACTGGTGTATGAAACCCTCTTGCTTCCAGAAACTGCTGATGTTTTCTCAAAATTTTTAAGGTTTTCAGCAAATAATGTATCAGATGCCACAAATTTAGGAATGATATTAAGGTAAATGTGAATTACTAGATCAGAGAATCTGCAGTGTCTTGCAGGGCATGGAGAACTTTAATTTTACATCCAAAAGAGATAGGAAATTTTATGTTTATTTTTATTGAACTTTGATACAAATTGTTATTGTTACAGAGCTTTTTTCCAGATCATATGATATCTTTCCCAAGTGAGACCCATGCAGCTGTAAGCCACTCTGGGATATTACAGGTATGTAATCTTTTAATGAAGATGAGCCAACATAACTTAGAATTTCCCATTGCCTTTTTGTTGTGAGCATAATTCTTTGTCACTGTTGGATCTGTTCCTAGGTTTTGAATAACTCAAAATATGGTTAATTTTTTTTTTTCCTTACGAGATACGAAGTGGTGTGTCCCTTCTAGACAGTTATTGTATGACCACACTTTGAAACATACACATTCTTTCAGAATCACAGATGTAAAAACACAAAATGAAGTATAAAATGGTTAATGCCTTTACTGGGTATTTCAGGTGAAAGACCCTGTTTCCTTAAAAAGGTGGAGCGCTGCAGTACTTGGCATATATTTAACAGCAGGCATTGGTAGAATAATGAGGAAATGGTAATGTGATACAACTGGATATAAAAAAAGGCTTAAATGGTTAATCTTAATGAGTAGAAAATTTAGACTGACTAGTATGATTTGTTAGCTTGAAGGCTACTGTAGCCTTTGGGAAAAAAAATGGTAGGTCATTCAGTGTTAGTCATCTTTTAAGTGGACACAAGATTTTAATTTACAGTGGGAATAATTTCACAGAATGACCATATCAGGGATCATCGACTTACTTCCCAAAGAGGGGAAAAATGAGTAATAAAGGTGGAAACATAGTCATCACTCTTGTTTGCTTGTCACTAGAAAAAATAATTAATAGAAGAACTTTCACTAGACTTAAGACAACAAGCCTATGAGTGAGTTTTGGGGATAAAGACTGATTGGAAAGGCAACATAATAACACAGGATATTTAAGGTAAAACTAAAGGAAATATTAAAACTAGGTTGTTGGGTTTTTTTTTTAATTATATAATAAATTCTACTTCAGCATCTGCCAGTAAATGAAAAACATTAAACAACTAATTTTCAAAACATTCCTCTGTATTAAAAAGTTATATTCATATAAAAGTGAATGTTAGTCAGGAGGTTAAGTTAACCCCAAATAGAATAAAAATGTTTCAAATTAAATATAATTGACACATACTGGATTCCATAAATAATTTTTACAAACCTAAATAAAAAATATTAATTTCTACAGATGCTGCCTATCTAAAGAAACTTGGTTCACTTTTGCTATGCAAATAAGCAAATAGATTTTGCAGTCTAACATAAACATTTGATTTAGATACTCTTGCCCATATATGATATATAGTGAATGTGCAGAGCTTGTGGGTAAGATTAAGAATCATTCTAAATAGGTAATGGTTACATCCCATATTGGTAGATGGAAAAATCTGTTGTCAACGCTCCTCTGTTGCTATTTTATGTTGTATTGTCTGTTTAATTGTATTTTGTTCAATAAAATTTAGGAGGCATAAGTTAGAGAATACCTTTGTGAATTGTGCAGTCGTCACGCACATTTCAGCAGAAGCTGTTGGGTCAGTTGTTTACAGCCAGTCGCTATATCCTTGGAAACTTTCATTAAGATGAATTAATAGTCTTGGTTATTATTTGTGATGTGCTTGATCAAGTATCAAGAGAGACATTTGTTTTAACAACTCAATGCTTACAAGTGATTAAAAAAATCATTTCTGATACATCTATAGTTTTTTGTGTATTGAGCGGTGAGCAAGTAAAATATTTTTCAAGTATGTTTTTCTTGACTTTCATTGAAAGTGGATATTTTGGCTGATGACTTTAAGTCAGAACATCTGAATAGCCTCAAAACAAAAAAAAAACCCAACAGTTTACCTGTCTCCTATCATTTAGCATGTGGTAAGTAAAATTGTTAGGTCTGACATATACCAAATGTCTGTGTATACCAAAGAGAGGTTTGACTTACAGCCTGAAAAAAGTGTCACTATTAGAATTAGAAGCCGTATTTGGCTGGAATAGGCTGCCCAGGGAGGCTGTGAATGCTCCATCCCTGGCAGTGTTCAAGGCCAGGTTGGACGAGGCCTTGGCTGATATGATTTAGCATAAGGTGTCTCTGCCCACGGCAGGGGGGTTGGAACTAGATGGTCTTAAGGTCCTTTCCAACCCTAACGATTCTATGATTCTATGATTTATTAATATGGCTGCTCTGAGACAACACTGTATATACATGGTTAGTGGTAGGCAGTATGGATCATCTGGAAGCCTTGCTGTAGCTTATTTTTGCAAATTGGATACTTAAAAACATTTCAAAAAGGAAGGCAATATGAAGCTCTTAATCTGAGGCCTCTCTTATTCATGACAGCACTTCCAATGAATAGACTGCACAGCATAGAGTGTTGACAGAACTGAGTCCTTAATAGGTGATATCCTGCCCTCACTGAGGTCAATAAGGTGTTGGTCGTTTTTGTTTAAATTCCTTTGAAGGGTCAAAATTTTGGGTTTTGGGGTTTTTTGTTTTTTTTTTGTCTGTGAATAACATTTCTCCAATTTTTAATTTTGAGGGGTCTTATATTTAATCGTAACAAGTTTTTTGTTTTTTTTTCCACTGTGCAGTATGTCACTGTTTTAAATTTAACAGTGACACCTTCAAAATAGCAGGTTCTTTCTGGTTTTGTTTTTAAGAGTAGACCTATTTCCCTTCCCACCCCACATTCTCTAATAGATGCAATTTCTATTCAGATTTGGTTGGTAGACTTCAAGTTCAGGGTTCTGTTCATCAATTTGGCTGCTTCTTTCTAATTGCTTTTTACATATAGTGTAAATACATTAGAAAAAACTATTGTAGACAGCACATGTCCAACCTGTCGTCCAGAGGAATAAAAAGAACCTTGCACCTGATGTAGGATATATGAAACGAGAACATATGCCTTTCCTAAATAAGAATAACAAAATAAATTTTATGTATGCAAAAATTAAGTTAACAACACATCGGGATTATCAAGACAGGCACTTACATTTTGTGAAAGGTTGAATTCCTGATAGTGACTTTTCCTTTTGGCCTTCTCCATCGCCATCTCTTGCCCCAGCCCCCATGTTCTTAGTTGTTCTCATTCTCTGCCTTCACAGATTTAAGAGCCAAGCTTTCTTTCTGTAATCATTCTGCCACAGAAAGTCTCTCTTTCCCTGACCAGTTTCCCATCTGATTCTGTTCCAGATTTCAGGCTGAAATAGCCATGCACAGAATTTCAGCCTTTGGTCAATCTCCTAGGCATGTTCCAGTCTGCCTTTCCCCATTTTCCATTCTAGGTTTTTCTGGCCTTTCTGCCAGTCTAAAACTCTCAGACTGACTGAAGTCAATAGGAGACAATACTGAGAGTCAGTAATACTTCTTCACTGGAACTACTTGGTGCCCTAGAATTTATCAGCAGGTTTAGGGGAAAATCCTGCTCATTCCCAGTAGCATTGGGCTGGATCATTGCCAACTGTCATCACATCTTTGAAGAAATCAGTCATCACATCTTTGAAGAAATCAGTCATCAAATTCAACTTGATTCACAGAGCCTTAGGAAAATGTTGGCTTCGACTCTCAAAAATAGTGTGTAATGCTTGAGAAGCATCCACGTTAGCAAATATTTTCTATGCTACTGCAACCAGTCTTTCATTAAAAATGTTGAAGGTGCATACAAATAAGGTTTATAGTTATGAGTATGGCTCTCAAACTTCATTGCATTTAGTGACATCTAGAATTTCTGGTTTTTTTTTTATTATTATATTAATCTGAGACAGTGCAATGTTTTTTCCTGTTCTGTTTTTTCACCTGTTGATTGATTTGTTTTTTACCAACAAAAGGCATTTATTTTGCTTTGGGTTTTGTTCAGCTTGATTTTAAATTGGTTTTACAGCTAAGCAAATGATAATTGAGTCCTTGGTGCTGTCATATGCTACTATCTGAAAGACATGGTGACATTTGACACCACCCTACAAATCATGTTATATATTTCACTGCATGGGAGAGAGGGCGCAAGCTTATTTCTGCATATCATGTGACCAGTAATCCCTGCCTGCAGCATACCATCATTTAACTCTCCACAATTCATCTTACGATATTAAGGACTTTTCTTATTTTTCTTATATTAGTTGCATATTGATCATCTGTATGAACAGGGATCCACTTCCCCAATAATAAATTTGCATGTACCTCCATTAAAAAAACAAACAACCAACAACCAACCAAAACAACAACAAAAAACCCTACCAAAACCAACCCAGAACAAAAATCCCAATGAAGTTGTCTTTTCTACTATCTTTAGTTTTAGGTGTTTATTGCATTCAGTTCTGACTGAAATATTTTTTACTGTTCATTCCTTCTGACAATTACTAGTTTTAACTTCAGCTTGCTCATGTTGTATTTTCTCACATTCCTCAGCTGTCTTAGAAATAAAAAGATGGATCTGGGATTGCCTTTTTCCTAGCATTATTGCTACTTTATTTAATTGATAGCATGGGCACAACGATGACTGTTGAAGCTGAGCTTTGTATTTTGTATTCCACTTTGGTCTGCTGAGTAAGAAACGTGTTTTTCATGACAGCATTTCTGGTTTGAAGCTCTTATGGCAGAAATCCTGGGAAAGACACTTGTGCAGGCTGTGAGCCAACCACTCCTTTCATGTTAAGCAGAGATACTAAAGCCTAAAAAGATGCTGTTCTTTTTTTTACGTAGATTGACTCATTTAGATTTTCCTAAAGCTTCCATTTGACTTTGTTTATGCAGTTAAAATACTTCTTCAACTCAGCCTTTATATTTGCCATCAGTGAACTTGTTCATTCGTGGCAAATGGGGAAAAAACAGGCTAGAACACCTACCAGAACCTACCCATCTGCTTCAGTGTGGCTGAAATAGCTTAAACTGCATTTGCACACAGCTGTGTGGCAGTAGCACTGTAGATAGATGTACCTACTCTTACTGTAATTTAACTATTCAGGTGAATAACAGTGAAGCTATTCATAATGCATTCTTTGCTGTGAGCTAGGGCACTCCCCTGTCAAATGAAGCCTGTGTTACTGCATTCACACCAGCTGAATTTAGACTGCAAGATAGGAAAATAATAAAAGTGAAAGCAGCCTTGTGTTTCTTGGTTGAACTGCATTATTTAGTGTCTAAAGAACTTGGTGTGCTTCCAAAATCACATTCATTTAATTATTTTACGGCAGTCCTGTACTGGCCATTCTGTCTCTTGCCTGGTAATCTGCTGCTTTGTGTCCTCAAATCAGATTTTCTGGAAGTGGCAGTGGACAAGAGGAAAATGTGGCAGTGGAAACTGCAGATGCCAACCAGAAAACCCTTTGTTCCCTACCTCTATATAAGTCTAGATAGTATTTATGATGCTACAGACCAGCCTGGGGCAAGTTTCCTTGAAGAGCTTGGTAATGACATTGGTTCCTTTGCACATATGGAAATTGAAGGATTCTAGGTTAGTATGCTTAGATGTGTCATTGTTCTGAGCAGTTTTATTGGAAGAAGAGTAATAAAAATGAATACATTTCATGGAATTAGCATAAAGTTAATATGGTTGCCAGCTTTTAATGGGTACTTCTGCAGTTTTATTCTGCAGAATGAGTAAAACTGTGTACTTGGTCTTTGCTAAGATAACAGTATCTTGCTAGATAACAATTGTGTTGCACTCTGACAATGTCTGGTTGAAATGGCTAAAGCGAAGCCATTGAATATCTTGAGCAGGAGTTGTCTTGATTGGCCCAGCTTCTGGCTTTGGCTCCTAAAGCTGCTCAGGCACCACTGCAGGTCCCTCCTTTGTCTCTTCCTTTTGAAAATGGTAACATCTACCTGACCTGCACGGGTTTGTGATTCAGTTTTTGTGATTTCTTTGGTGAATTAATTTTAACTCAGATTGGTTCCCTTATCTGGTTGTAACACAGGGAGAAGTAGAGGTAGCTTTTTTTTGTTCTTCTTCTTCTGTTGGTAGCATTCATTTGCAGTTTTATATAAATAGGGTCTGAGGCATGGGATCAGAACTTCTTAACACTGGTTTTGTTGCTGAAGTCAACATATTGCATAACTAATGCTCTCATTTCAAACCATATGTTCCATATAAATATGTAACTTGCTTAGCATACCTTGGAGTTGTGTAACACTCTGCACGTCTTAAGTCAGAGGTACTCTTAATGAGACTAGATGCAATCACAATTGAATTACTGTGGTGTGATACTGGATTTAGGGGTTTATTCCCCTTAGTTCTGTCTTGAGTATGTTAGTGAAACAGAAAGCTGATTTGAGATGGAAAGAAAAATGCATATCTGATGTTTTCTTTCAGATGTTCCTAAGCTCCAGCACATATCCTGAGATTCATGGTTATTTGCATGCAAAGGAGCAGGGGAAAAAATCCTGGAAAAAATTGTACTTTCTTTTGAGAAGATCTGGCCTTTATTTTTCCATTAAAGGTACATCTAAGGTAAGGGGAAAAAAAAAACAAACCAAAAAAAAAAGGGAGACCATAATGAAGTTAGAGCAAATATGTATGTATTTAAAATCTGTTTTAATAACAAAAAATTTTAATTTCAACTTGCAATGATAAAAAGGAAACAGGTATTTATTACAGGTAAAATCTAAAGCAATATAAAATTGGGAAAGTATTGTCTTAAAAACAGTAGTTTCTTTTTTCCTAACTTTGCTTCATTCTGATCAGTATTTTTCCAGTCAGTTAACAGAGTACCCTTTTAAAATGAATTTTCAACTAGTAGTTAAAATGCTGAAGTGTAAGTAGATGCTTTGAAAAGTGGTTGTCTTACTTCATTATGTAAAATAAACAAAACCCTGTGTATAAAGGGATTTTACAGGAGGATTTTGAGAGTTCTCACATTTTGTCACTGTCCAGTTTTCCATTTTACTACTTCAACTTTTTGGTGGCAGTTCTTTAAACCTGATAATGTTAAACAGGATACATTGGAGTTGAGACACCTTTTATGTAAACCACTTAAACCAAAGTTTTTTCTTGTTCTGAATTTTCTGTGTTAACTGACAGAGCAATCATGGAGCTGCTTTTGTATCCTTCAGCAAATTTCTTTTGTTTTCTTCCTTAGCTTAGTTCATCTTAGAGGATGGAGATAATGGTTAGAAACAGTAGTGGACAGTTTTCAGATTATGACAGTACCTTTTATTTTGGTGTTTGAAATGCATACAGCTGTCAAAACTTGACTCCTGCTCTGATATTATTATGGCTTGAATTTAGTGGATGTTTTCCGAGAAGTATCATCACTTGTACTTTGGTTTTTCTCCCTCTCTGGAAGAATGAATTCTTTGACTAGTTTGATGTGTTTTTCCTCTGCATTATGAAATTAATGCTGAGTTGTCTCTTTCTAGATTTCATGATGTCAGAGATAAAACTACAGTATGTTAAGACTGTTTTGGAACAGGATAACTCCTATATCTCCTGAGTTTATTATGTGGAGAGGCTGGCTAAAAATAGTCTAACTATAGTACATTGCTCTTCTTTTTAGGAGCCAAGGCACCTGCAGTTTTTCTGTGAATTCAGCAATAGTGATATGTACATGTCTTTGACAGGCAAAAAGATTTCTGGAGCACCAACAAACTATGGATTCTGCTTTAAGGTACAAGCTTGTTATTCTGATACATATTAAAGTAAGCCACAATTTTTAGGTAAGCTGAAGATACTTTAAGGTTTCTGAAAACAATATTCAGCTGTCTCTTATAAAATAGGAGAATTAGTGGGTTTTATTTCAACAGGTATTATCTTCAAGATATGCATTAATGCTAAAAAAATGTGCTGTGGCCTTCTAGCCTAACAAATCAGGAGGAACCAGAGACCTGAAACAGCTCTGTGCAGATGATGAACAAAGTAGGACCTGTTGGATGACAGCAATTAGGTTGCTTAAGGTAATTTTTCTGTGTGGAGCTAGCTTCTTGCTTAAGTTTACTATGTGAAATTTTGATATTGTGTGTAGAGGGGTATCTAGGTTCCCATGTAATAGCAATATCAGCTTTGTACTCTTAAATGTGAAAGCTTATTGTATTTCATCCCAATAAGCGGAGACCAAATTACTGAAATCACTGTAGGGCATGGGGTGATGTCTTGAAGCCTCAGTCCTGCAAATACTTAACTGTAAGCATATGTTTGTATGCAACCATGTTGAAGTCATTGAGATTGTTGAGTAATATTGAACAAAACAACAGGAATACACAAGAATGCTTTTAGTATGCTTTTAAAATGTGTCTATATGTGACAAAATAGGAGTAGGTCATTTATTGTATTAAACGGGTAGTATTTAATGCAGAATGTACGTTTATAAAGAAGGCAGCAGCAACAATGATGATAATGTGCATTTCCTTATCCTAACAGCATTTGTTCCTGAGTTTTAATGATAAAGAAAATCATGTGTTATTATTTACATCTGGGAAAACAATTTGCTTGGCTTAGGTTTATAATTTAAAATGCTAACCATGTTATTTTCTGTTTTTAGTATGGGATGCAGCTGTATCAGAATTACATGCAACCATATCAAGGTAGAAGTGGCTGCAGCCCTTTGAATATAACACCTATGGTATGTCCCACAGTAGCTCCATGAATAAATACATTGTTTCTGCCATCATGCTATTTTTAAGTAACTTGCGTCAGTTATACTACTGACCTGATCCTGCAAATCTTTGCATGTGCAAATGCTTGCCAAAATATTCAGGGCTGTCAGGGTTGACTGCAGAGCTAATTAATTACTTAATGCAAGTCAGGTAGTTCAGAGCAATTAAGATTTTTTTTTTCCCTTTGTCACATCACGAGTATTTTAAGAGTTCATCGGCTTATTATCACAGTCAAAAAGAATGGAAAGAGGATTTTGGAAACAGCGGCAGAACTATAAATGCATTAAAAAAGAAGCAAAGTGTTTAAGGATACACATGCTCTAAGTGCTGTATAAGAAAGCTGTAACAAATCCTTTTTGGTATACAGTAATTTATTTTTTTTTTTTAATATGAAATGTTAAGTACTTGAGGTGAATTTCGGTGCAATACTGATGACTTCAGAGGATCACTGTAATTTGGCTGAACTGAAATTTGGAGGACAGCAGCCTGTACTAGATGCTGTGTCCATCTCCTCAGACAGATAGTTGGGATTGGATCAGGATGTCCCTTTAATATCTTATGTTATCTCAGTTCTTTATGAGTCATTTGATTTCAGACTTTTTCATGGATGATTTATATCACTTTTGTGGGTTTTGTTGGCCAAATTGAGTAAAAGTTACTTGTTGCAAGGACTCATGACGGTGATTTTATGGTGGATTTTTTTAGCTTTTATTGTAGTTCTTGCTGTTAAAATGCCTAAAACATGCATTTGCCATTAAAAGTATTAAAAAGTTAGTTTTCAGTGATATTGCTAATAAGCGTGGTTTCAAAACTGTGATTAATACATGGACCATGTCTTCATTTCCTGTTATGTGAAGCTGTTACAATAGCTAGCTGCTGCTTTTATAATGAATCTGAGAGCCATTACTGATTCTCTCTTCTCTTACACTACTGCGTGCTTTCTAACTCACATAGCTTGTAACACAGACAGAATGGCACTGTTTTTCTACTTGTGCATAATTCATGGATTAAACAGCAAATTGGATAAACTTGGGAATTAAGTGCACAAGCTAAGGAGCATACTTCACAGGGGAGCCACTTCCATGTTTCACATTCCTCAATAACTCACAATCATGTCAGCTACAAGGAGTTCCCTCCACTCTCCTAGAGACAAATGTTTTCTCTTATTTCACCTGTGGTTTTGACTTTTGCAAAGTTTTCTTCAGGTTACAGTTACTCGGGCAGACCTTAGATTATGGTGTCAAGAATTACAGTGAACTGTAATTTCTAGTTACATTCATGCTTGTAACCAAACAGGAGCAAAACAGAGCTGCTTTTTTTTTTTTTGGACTGGGGAGTTTTGCTAGCCCTACATAAATCTGGGCCTCTTGTGCTCCAGATTTTACTTTAATTTACACAATGCTAGGATGTTCTTTTAATCTTTTGATATTCCAGTGCCTGCCAACTTTCGAGCCATTACAATCTGTATTAAACTTGATTTTGTAAACCTTGGTTTCTGAGAAATATTTTGATGAGTTTTAAGACTGTTTTGTCAAACTTCAGTGTTTTTATTCTATTGCTACAAACTTGATCTTCACTAGGAGAAAAAGTATAGCAGATCCTGCAGTTAAGTCTGTAAAATCCAGTAAAGTTTGAGTGAAAATTTATATTAAAATATATGTTTATGAAATTTATAATGAAATATTCCAAATCTTTGTTAATTTGATGGTTATGTATATATATGTATATATGTATACATATATGTATATGTATATATCCTTTTTTTTTGTTACTTGGACAACTTAATAACAGTTTTCTGACCTGTTTTGACATACAAAGGGCTTGTTATAGTTAAATAGTTAAATATATAAACAGAGTTTCGGGTAAATTGATGCACTTATCATCCATTGCAGTAAGGCAAAAAGATGATCTCTCCTGCCAGACTGTAAAATAGCAGTTTGCAGCAGCACTGGAATTGCAAATGCTCCCTCGGGTTGAATGAGTTTGGCTCTGATGGAAAATGCTGCAGACTTGAACCACTTACAAAACATAATGTTTTTTCAGAAGCTGACTTCTAAATGATGGATGTTTTAAAAAAGGAACAAACTAAATCTAGTTTTCTTTGTTGCAGAGAAGCATTTCAGAAAATTCTTTGGTAGCAATGGATTTCTCAGGACACAGAAGCAGAATTATAGAAAATCCAACAGAAGCCCTTTCAGTTGCAGTCGAAGAAGGATTAGTGTGGCGGGTATCAACACCTTTGTTTTATCAGAATAGTATTTTCTGGGTTGTTTTTGTTTGTTTGATTGTTTTTCTAACAAAAAAACTTTGAAATCATGTTTTTACTTCTCTCTCATACAGAGGAGAGGTTGTCTACGACTCAACTCACATGGTAGTCCTATTGCCATGTCTAACATGGGTATGTGTGAGTTAATCAATTGCCAGAGAAATGCAATAGCTGGTTCTTTCAATAAAGGCAAAAAATTTTTTAAAGATCTTTGTTTTTACAGCTATACACCGATCTCAGTCGTGGTTTCATCATAAAATATCTAGAGAAGAGGCTCAGAGACTTATTTTGCAGCATGGACTTGTAGATGGGTAAGTTAATTCTTTACATAACTTTTCTGAGACACATTTCTAGTCAAAAGCTGCTATTTTAATGTACTTCTTACTGGGGGAGGGAAATGGAAAAAAAAAGAGTTTGCACTTACCTGATAGAAGTAAAAATTATTTTATATAGGGCTATCTGGGGATAAGTTGGTTTCTGTTTTATATCTTCTGGAAGCAATAAAATAGTGATCTAACACTTTGATTCTGTCACTGACCGATTACTTATGTCCACTCAGAGCCAGGCACTTGAGCTCTGTATTTGCACAATATTCTCTGGGAGCTGTCAACTTTGGCACCAATGTCTTTTGTATCTCTTATTAGTGGTGAAAGAATGAAAAAAAAAAGCCTGAAATCATTATTCTGAGATGAACTGTGCAGGGACAGCCATTGAAAAACTTATGCTTTTCCTCATAAAATGACTAAAAAAATCATATTATACCCTAAAGGTAAATAATAAATGTTAGGATAAGACTTTTTTTCTCTCATTTAAATATTAATTTTTTTTAAATTATAAAGTAAATAAATATTTTGTGTTCAAATCCTCCTATTTTTCATTTTTATGTTTTATCCTTACTCCTGTATTAAATGTAAATTTGGGCCTCCTTTTTTCAATGAGTAATTGCATAAAACTCTAAGTTTCTCTGAGTCTCTTTCCAGTTAGGTGCCTATAACATCAGATTACTGGTTAAATTCCTTCAGTTTTAGATTAAGTACATGGTAATACTGTTTTCTACATCTGCAGAAAAGGCTCTAGGATAAAAGGCAATGGAAAGAGAGTCCTACTCAGTAAGGATGGCTAATTGGACTTCCCCATTTTTATTTTTCCTTCTTTTTCCATGTAAGGGTTCCTATTTTAAAGTCTGTCTAATGATCCTGAAGCTGTTTCTGTACTCTGCATTCATTTTGTATTTGTTAAATGAGAGGGACAGGACATGGAGGTGACTCAAACATGTATTTCCGAGCAGTGTATAATTCCAGGGCTGATGAATCTTCCAGTGTATTTCAGTGGGTACACACAAACACACTGTTAAATGAAACCCAGTAGATTTGGTGAGCAAAAAGCAATGGTGTTCAAGATGAACATGCAAATACCTTGCTAACATTAGTTTAGTACAATGTTCTTTATGTTATGTTCTTGGATCTATTAATAGGTGTGCATGGTTTTGGTGAGGATGATACTCTTGTATGGAATGTCTAGAATTGATGAGATCATGGTACTACGAGCACTCGTGCTGTCAGATACATATTCAGGAGTTACAATGAAGTCATGAATACGTTACAGCATGTGACAAATGCTGTGCTTCTTGACAAGCTGAAAGAATTAATTATCACCAGAAATACAAACGTTTTTAATGAAAATAATATTTAGTTTCTGGGGGCAGAGGGTGGGGCAGAGAAAATAATCCATGTTGAGCCTTTTAAGGTGATCTCATGCAGGGGGATATCCTGCATATATGGCAGATGTCATAGGACCTCTTTAATACCATGTGTACCAACAAATAGTCTGTTCCTAATGGCTTGTAGAAGACAAAGGGACTATTATAAAAAGGATATACAGTAGTATCAGTATTTGAATAACCTAATAGCAGGGACAGCAACAGCCTTAAGGTGTGCTATGAAGGAATAAAGTTTTTGGATCTACTGTTCCAGTGTAAAGCCAAATTTCTTAACAAAGTTTATGTAGCAATTTTATAGATTTCATACTTCACCCCCTAAAGGGCATTTGAAGACATTTCAGTGATAAATGATTGACAGGATTGCAAACTGATTGGCATCTGATTGATGAATGGGATAATAGCATTACCAAAAGCCCCATGACAAAATGCAACTGGTCATTCAGAGAATTCCTTGTAAGTTTGTGAAGGAGTAGTTTTTTGGAGTCATCCAGCATGTCTGAAAAGCTTCCTTCCAACTAACATTTCTAAGATTCTGTGAACTACAATCCGTTCTTCGTAATAAAGTTATTTTTTGACAACTAAAGTAGGTCTATTGTGATAAGCTTAGAAAAGAGTAAAGATCTTTTTATGTGAAGGAGAACAAATGTTGCTTGTCTTTGCTGTTAAAAAAGGAAAAAAGTAAGAAAATTAACTTTAAAAGAAATGATGAATGAGAACATAAGTCCTAATCAACCTGAATTTCCTTTCCTACCCAATGTGATTACTTTGTGTACTGTTTAATGTGGATCCCGGAACTGACATTTGGCAACTCCATTTGGGATATCTGCGAAGTGCCACATTCTTATTGTCATTTTTCTGAACAAAAATAAAATGCCGGTCCTTAATGACAAACATAGAAAGCATTCAAGTTTATTCGAACGATCTGTGTAAGTGTGCTCTGAACATTTTTATGTCCTGAAGAGGGTGAAAGGCCACTAGGTGGTGAGAGAGAGCTTGTTAAGAGAGCCTGAGTCTACTGAGAAGTCTTACCTATCATATTTGCTGTGTGCTCTTACCGCATGCTGAGTTGGCAGTTATCCCTCTTTGATATAACTAAATTAGTGTCAGAGCTCCGAATTAGAATGGGTGGGGATTTTGATGGAAGTTATAATGATTATGGAATCCAAAATTCTTAATTCCAGGTATTTTCTTACCTTGTAAAACTAGGACTCTTAAAAGTTTTGAGGATGAAATTAATAGTTTGCATCCATGCTGTTAGTGAAAATCCACTGTAAGCCTTTTCTGCTTTCTTCTCCTGAAATCATTTTTTTTTCATATAGCAGTTATGCTCTCATTCCTGGTACCTGGTTGGGCAAAAGTAAGTGGCCTCTAGTCCCTACATGGTTGATACATGCAAGTCCATCTTACCTGTTTCTTTTGTGACCTGAAAGAGCAATAAGCTTTCCAATGGCTGTCCCTCTATTTCCCTTATTTGGTACATTTGTTAGCCATAGCTGTTCCAGGCCTGCACAATACAGTTTGGACTTTGTCCACTACAAAGCTGTGAATCAGTTACTTCCCTCTGTCCTCCAAACTGTTCTCAGCTGATATTCAAAACCCAGTGATTCAGTGAAAGCTGTTTCTTATTGTTAATCATCCTTAGCCTATACCAGGATTATGGCAAAATTATGTCTTTCTATAACCTGGTTGGAATACATTTTCAGTGAACTACTTGCAGTGACAACTGTTAACCATTGGGAGCGTTGTGATTTGAATAATGATGCCATAAAGTAAGCGAAGTGTACCTGTGTCTCAGTGGGAATTGTGCTGATGTGCAGACGTGGGTGCGCACTTATGAATATTGGCCAGACGTGAAAGTCATTCTACAAGTCTCGCATTACGCTTTCTGTAAACTTCCTGTTAAGCCACCTTTTGAATTTTCCCTATAACGTTTGTCATTTAGGTAACACAGTCGCACAATGTTTGGGTCAGAGCCCAGATAAAAATTTTGTTCAAAGCACAAACTTTGAGGGTGCTTTTCTGTCTGAAGAGATACATTGTAATTCTGTGCAGTGTAAAAACTAACGCCTACAGTGTCATTCATTCTGAGAACGCATATTTTTCAGATAAGACAAGGTGAAGAAGAATTTAAGTATTTCCAGTGACACATTTGCAAAGAAACACTGATTAAAAGCATGATGTACATAGTTAATGTTATTTTTGCTTTTCACTAATACTTACTATAATGAATTACAACAGTTCTAACTGGATGTTTCCAAAAGGATTTCCAGAGTGCCCTTACTGTGAACGTTTTCAATCTCTTTTAGGGTATTCCTGGTACGTGATAGCCAAAGTAACCCCAAAACATTTGTATTGTCACTGAGTCATGGATTAAAAATAAAGCATTTTCAGATTGTACCTGTAAGTAAATATTTCAGTTTATATATACAGTTGTAAACCAAAACAATTGAATAGTGGTGATAAAATATTGATGGATTTTTTTTTCATTTGCTGTTATGCAGAAGATGTAAGCGTAATACCTCTGTCACTAAAAATAATTAGTATTCTTGAGTAGAGCTGAATATTTGTGAGCTTTGATGTTACAAAGTTAGACTAGTACTGTGAAATCCTAAAATGTGTCTTAAAGAAATAAACGAATCCATTCGACCTGTAACAGAAGCAACCCTGATGGCAGAAAATCTTGTATTAATAAAGGTCATATTGCCTGTTCAATTTTAGATAGGTGCACAATTTGGTTTTAGTCATCTGTTTAGGTGTCCTGCCTATGACGTGTGTGTGTTTGTGTATCTGACTCGTCTGTTCGGGATAGTTTCTGTCAATATTTTTCAAACATTTTTTTCTGACCTCTCTTCTTCATTTGTGTTATTGTGGTATATTCATGGCCAAGTCTTCTTCAAAGGGACAATTTTAGCAAAAAATTGATATCCTTATTTAGCCCAGCTTCTCAGATGTAAGCTGAAATTTCCTAAATTGAAATCATATTTCCATCAGTTTTCCTTGAAGATTTCATCCAGTTATCCTACTGGAATGGCCAGCTTTCCCCATCTCTTCCACTCTTTTCTGAGGTGGTTTATGCTGGTTTTTGTACAGGATGCTCCTGTTGAGGCGAAAAACACTTCAATGTTACATGTTTTAGCCACATAACTGAGCAGACCTATAGCTTTTTCTTCTCTCTTCACAAAAAGCTTTCTTCCAGACCACATAATATTCTAGCCTCCACGTTCCTTCCTCCTAAAGTTTCTGTGATACTTTGCTGTTTCTCAGTAAAAATGAGTGTAGTGGCTTTTGTTTTGTTTCTGATCTGGTGATCCACTATAATCATTCACCAAATTTCCGTATGCCATACCTAGGGCTTGTAGCTGATATTCTCCCCTAAAAAAGTTCCTGTAGAATAAAGCTGAAGCACTATTTCAGGGGAGGAAAGGAGTGAAACAATGTTAGTTACAAGAATTGCCCAGGATTTTTGTTGTGTTTAGGAATAAACAATGGAGGATACCTTCATCCAAAAGTGTCCTGGATTCCTTGTGAACATCAGTGTATGCTCTGTGATTAAAATCCCAAGTGTAAGATCTCTGTGCTACTGACTGTGGGGGATAAGTGTTGTGTTGCTTAGAAAGCCTTCTGAACTCCATACAAATACTGTATGATTCTACTGCATTGGGATGTCATTTAACTCTCAATTTTAAGAGACCACTTTTTCTTTCCCTATCAGGAAAGAGAACCTCTCTTCTGTGAGAGCAGAGGTAGCCAGAAGCTGCAGTTATCTTCAGTTTTCCCTGAGCTGGATAATTCTCCTCTTCTCTTCAGAAAAATTACCCAGTCAATTCTTATGTTCTTCAGATGTAAGCAGTACATTTGAGGAATTGATCATACACATGCATGCTAAAACCTTGCTTTCCTGTTGTAGGGTCTTTGGAGAAGCCAGGAATTCCTTGTTTTGACATACAGACTTCGGTCAAATTTTCCATGCTGATAGTCTAGATGACCTGTTCCACTTCGGTGAAAAACCTGTCTTACTTGAAGGACCTTTTTTTGTTATTTTTAAAGTAAAGTGATTTCTCCTATGCTAGTTACCAGGGGTAAAAATAAATATCTCTAATGAGAACAACTTAATCTGGAGAGAGAATGTAAATATGGGTCCTGTTAGTTCACCAAACATAGACATATTTCAGTTCCTTTCTGTCATCTAATTTGCCATTGCATTCAGTACCGTCATGCCATTCTCAATGCCCAGACTTATCGCATGTTCACTTTTTGCTAGATCAATACTCTTCAAGGAGTTCAGAAATGCATTTTTTTGAGGGGAGGGGTGCTGTTGATCTTCTAAATGAAGTTATTGTTTTTCTAAGAAACAAGACATTTTGTGTTACTGCAATAAGTTGGTAGCTTATTAGTTGAAGATCAAGGTTATCTTTTTGAACTTCAAATTGTACTGTTATTCTAAACTCTTGCCTTTTTCCAGTCATTGGGAAGCGAAAATAATTTTCCTACTAAATATAAATAAATAAATGGCATTTAGAAGGTCTTTTTGCAAGTTAAAAATAATTCAGTTTCTAAATGAATTATTTTTCTCTTACATTTTAGGTTGCTTCATTTAAAAATACTGCATTTAAAAATGTCTCCTTCCTGCACAAGTGCATCATGTTAACTTTGGTAACATGTGCAACAGGTTTTGCAGGTGGGTGGCAGGGAACTGGTTGTAAAAAATTGAAAAGAAATCCTTTGGGATACATTTAGGATCCCATACTGTGAAAACTGGAGAACTCAATATCTTAAATGTATTTTTCAGCCTTACTACTCTGAGCTGATACAAGTTAATTTCAATGTAGAAATTACTTGTTCTGTAGTCCATGTGAAAGAAGAATGGATATGCATTTCTGGGACTGTCTTTTTCCACTAAATGTTTTTCCATAATACCCTTCTTAGCTTGCAGAAAATGTTAGGTTCCTGAACAGCATAACTTTGATATGAATTTTTCCTTTGCAAAATACTGATTGCTTTAGAATTAGCAATCTGGTATTCAGTTCAAGCTTTGGGATTACTTTGGAGGGGGGATAAACAAGCTGAAAATTAAATCCTGTTTGACAGGCTTCTGAATTGTCAACTCTTCCTTGTCTTCAGTGTGTTGGCAGGAAAACTGCATGCAGAAGAAAGTCCAATGGATGATAATCCATTTTCAGGTTATTAGCTGGAGCACAGGAATTTACACATGCACGCATTGGTAATTCCTTAACTAGCAGTGTTTGACCTCAACTGACCAAGTCTGAGAATAAAGAATTTGCAGACTACTTCCAGACATGGTAGAAAGGGGTAGAATAGCTGTAAGCTGTAAGCAATTCAACAGCTGCTTCAGATGAGAAATCTTAATTACAGGTAAGAGAGCTAATTATATCTTCTTCCCTCTGTACTCCAGTAGGATAGTTGCATCTTTGCCTCACATACCATCTACTGCTCTACACTAGCCCTGCTTCAGGATCTTCTGTTCACTACTGTCCAAATCTTGTAAACTCTCTTTTTTCCCTTTTCTTTTTTAAAATAGTTTAAGTAGAGATTTTTATCCTCTATTTACATTAGTACTAGTTAGTTACTGTTGCACTGAAGCTTCTTGATACTAGATGTATCAGCAGTAGAGGAAATAAGTCAGCAGTGCAATACAAACTGACCAAGAGCTAATGTTCAATAACCTAGAACAGGGAAATACTGATTGTAAATTTTTAAGCATCTGAAAGTCAAAGGTAACATTTCAAGCTATGTTTCTCAGTTTCTTCTTTCTTTCCTGTATCTATGCTAATACATGCATTTGGAGCTGCATCTGTTCTTTCTCCTATAACAAAGAATATATTACTACATCAAGCATGTTATTTTTGCAATGGACAGTTTCTTTGGTAACACATATCATCTTGTAGACAAATGAAGTAATGTGCACCTTATAAAATAAATTATATAAAATGTAGTAGTTAGTTAAACTTGGCTGTTTCTTGTCATTCTGTAAAAACTGTGTTCATATAAACTCCAGTTATCATTCCAAAGCAAAGGCATAAAGAAGTATTGTTAATGCAGAAAGAATATTGTTTATATTTATTTAACCGTTCTTTCCTTTTAGGCACATACCTATATTAAAGGCAAAGTTGAAGAATGCTTTATCTTTCTGTTGTGCATTTTTGATCTTGCTGTGAATGATCACTGTATTTTTCCTTCTCTCAGTAGTCATGAGATTAAAATATCCTGGTCTACAAAGAAGGCTTCTCAAGTATGTCAAGCATGAAGAAATACCATAGCAAAGGACAATTTTATTTTATTTTTATTTTTTTCCATTTTTACAGTTGGAAGATGATGGGAAGCTATACTATACCCTTGATGATGGTCATACCAGATTTACTGATCTCATCCAGCTAGTGGAATTCTACCAACTTAATAAAGGAGTACTGCCTTGCAAGTTAAAACACTATTGTGCACGAATTGCTCTTTAACCAAAGTACCTGTTGTTTCATCAAAGGGAAAGGAAGATACTGGAATTTTTTTCCCCTTAGAGGCAGTTTGTATTGTAAGAAGGGAAAAAAGCATTACATTGTAAAGAGTCTATGTTTAAGCTGCAAAAAAAAAAAAAAATATATATATATATAGATAAGAACTTTGCTTTGTGATTGTCACCAAACTTAATTTTATGGTTTAAAAAAAAACCAACCCTCTTTTGTATGTAATTCTTTAGTGTTGTCTTGGATTTCTTTTGGGTTTTCTTTTTCAACTGAAAACAATTTAAAATGATATTGTGTTACTTCTACAAAAATATAACTGAAGGGAGGATCTTTGTTCTTAGGTTTAAAATTAACTTTTTGTCTCTGAATGCCTCTCAGTTTCTGTACATCACATAAAAAAATGTATTTACTGTGGTGAGGATAAGAAGCTGAACTGCACATTTTATTTGTAAATAAAATGAATAAATATTTTGCACTATATTTTTGAATGCTACTTTGAGGATTATCATATCCAAAAAGTGAAAAATCATTAAAACCACTTCTAGCTGATCAGTTGTATTGAGTTGTGCTATTACTATTGTAATATTGTAAAGGACTTTTTTTTCTCTAATCTAATGACTAAATCTACATCGTTATACAAAGCTGAAGTGTCACTTGCTTGGCTGTGATACATATAAACATGCAGAAAGTATCATGTAGTGTATAACATGGTTTAGTATATACCTACAGTCTCTAACATAGAGGGAGAGAGATCTGTTCTGTGGATTGTTGCAGAGTCGGGGAGGGAATGAACTTAATTGCCCTTAAAGGTACCATTCAAATATTTATGAATTTACAATATTTACAATACTTACAAATAAAGGTAAATCTAGTGAACTTTACTCTTTGCTGAAAACCTGGTGAGAGTGTATTTGCAGTCAGTTTCTAGCTTGTTTTATTATTTATCACAGAGTAATAATTTCAATATAGCTACCAGTCAACCAGTCTTTAGAGATTACCAAACATGTAACATTTGAGCTAAAGGGAAATGTTTTGGTAGAACAAGTTGAATTTTGGATCATAGTGTTAGAAATACTTTTGGCATCTGTGTTTTGAAAGAGAGGTGATGCTGCTGCATCCTTGAACAAAGACTTGAGTGGAGCGGGATTTGGATTGAAAGAGGCATCCCTGTCATAATGCTTTGCTGCCCAATAGGTTTGATCTTGCTATGAGGGTTCAGGATATAGCCCTGGATATCTTTACTTGGGGTAAAGGCTGGAGTGCAAAGTAGTGCTTGGAGATGGACCATCACACTGAATGCAGCCCCTCCTGCCTGTGCTTGATTCGATTCTCTGACTGTCAGATAACCCAGCTGTTCTGCTGTTGGAGCTCATGAGGAGGGAAGGTGAAGGAGGCCTGTGCGAGGGACGGAGTAAGATGGACCAGAGGTGCAGAGTAACAGTGTGCATTAGCTGACAAGGTTATGTATATGGAAGCATTAGAATAGTATGGTAACTATGGTTTTGTTATTGTGTGTCTGTGGAAGGCAATCATAATAACATAATACTGTGATACTTAATTTACTGACTTGATCCACACATCACTGACCTTTTCCTCTGGTATGCAAATGTGTTTTTTAAAGCTCATTAAAAAAGCAGCTCTTCATAACGTGTACCAAAGATGCAGCATATGCAGTGCCTAAGCTCATTACATTAGGAATGCCTTGTAAAACTCTTCACAGTCTAATAAATTCAACACTTAAACCTTGAATGTAATTACAATTTGAATGACGAAAATATACTTTTAATTAAAACCTCTTCAGATTTAGTTTAATAATGTGATTACTTCTCAGGCCTACTATTATTTCAGAGACAGGTACAGAATAAGAAGAAACATTCTCCTCTGCATCCCTGTTTTTTTGATCATCTGACAAAATGAATTGTCTACAATAGTGCATTTCTACTTGGACATGTGAAAGCTTTGCCATAATTTTTATTTCTATTTATGTGTTTGCTAGCATGCTTGGTAGAGAAGCTTAACTGCTTAGTGAGTGAGGGCCTCTGGACCTATCATTAAAAAAAAAGAGAATGTGGGGATTACGTGGTGGAGCGACATCAAAAATCTTTGCCTGCTTATTTTAAACTTTTTTAAAAAGTGAAAAAATCCCACCAGAACAAAAAATCCCACCAAAAAAGAACCAACCAACAGCCCCCCTCCCCCAAGACAACACACACACAAGAAACCCCACAAAAAAACACAAAAGGGAAACCCCAAGTAAAACAGAGTACTCCTTAATAAGCATGGAGTTTAGACGTTTTAAACTGGCAAGTACTCAAAACATTCTTACTCTGTAAAGTGTTGTCTCCCACATTTTGACAGCTCTCTATTAAAATCTAAACTGAAATTTTGCTGGGAGTAGAAAATCTTCTTTTACAATTGTGCATACTTTTCCTGAACTGCATGGTTGGTTGTGACTACCTCATGAAGACCAAACCAGTAAAAGTAACTAAATCTAGTTTGGTGTTTAAATGCCTTAACAGGCTACCTCCTTGTTTAAATATTACTGAAGGAAGAACCATGAAGGGAGGTAGTCTTAACATGTAAAAACAAACAAACAAACAAAACCACCAACAAACACACACACACACACACAAACAAAACCCTCTGATATCCCAGGCTACTTTAAAACATGCTAAATGGTACAGGTGGTTGATGTATGACTTGCAAGATCCTTGCTAGCAACCAGTGTTTTCTTGTCAGAAAAATGGCAAGATTTTTTATGACCCCACCCAGGATATGTCTGAGTGTAAAGTTCTTTGAGGGTGTAGGCAATACTGTTTGAAACAGAATTTCTGTGTGTTAACTGAGGCTTCTGATTAGGAATACTACTCTGAAGTGCCCACTGTTACAAAAATAATTGGCTAATCAGGAGTTGTTAGCAGCTCAAGGAGAAAGCAGAGCTATTTTGGGAAAGCCAGTCTGTGAACCTGCAATAGTTTGCTTCTCTAAAAATTGTGGAAAATTTTATATTTACCTCATAGAGAATTTAAGGATTTAAAAAAAAACCCAACCAAAAAAACTAAAACAACAACAACAACAAAAAACACACACACACACACAAAAGAAAACAAAACCAGGAAAAGAACCCAACCCAACAATAAAAAAACAAACAAAACCCTACCAAAAAAAAAACCAACCCTGAAATCAACCAACCAACCAAAAAAAAAAAACAACCACAATTTCATTTGGTTGTGTTTGTAGAGGGTTTTTTAGTACATAGGGAGGTAATTTGTTTTTATCTTTACTTTGGGCAGGTTAGAATTTACAGTCTTAAACTTCTTGATGTTTAAGTGTCAAAGCACCTAGGTTTGAAACATGATACGTTAAAAACACAGCATACTTTCTTCAGGTTTAAAATTTCATACGTCTTTGAGTGTATCTGTGTAGCGCCAGGAAGAGAGAACTGAGCTTGCCATGCAGAGGTGCCAGAAGCAGTGTAACAGTACATGCCCAGCTTTCTATCTGGGGTAATTAGCCCTGCAGGAGTAAGCTCTAAAGATGTGAGCTAGTTCAGGGATTGCTCTGAACCTCAGCTCAGCATTGTATTTGTTGGCATGCCCTTTTGTGCCTTAGTTTCCAATCTTAAAATCTTCTTGGCTCAAAGGAGATTAAAAGTTAATTCACTGGTGTTTCATAATGCATATACATACAGGGCTGGAATTAAGGTTCATGGGCAACATTAGATGACATTTTTAAACTTCTGTGTGTTTTTACCTAACAATCTTATTAAGTCACTTAATGAATTTTTTGAAATGTAGCAGGTCTTCAGTTCATCAAACTAAATATTTTGAAGGAGAGCTTTAACCCGTTAAATAAAAGAGGATTACGTATGTAACTAACTACAAGTGGGATCTTTCAAGGATAATTGAATTTCTGTCAAATGTTGTCTGTTACATCCTGGTTTAAGAATTACAGCGTTTTGTGCTTCCTTGGGGGTACAACTATTCTGTAGTGTAAGTGGGTTTGGGGTGTCTCATTTTAAGACACAAATCAGCTTATTTCAGGAGAATGGCCTCTTCTTTTTTTGTTGTTACATTGTGTAAAAGCTACTCATCTTCATCTAAATAGAAGCCACTCAGCCACCAATTAGTTTTAACTGTTTAAACCTATTTAATAAATGCATCTTGCAAATCAGTCTAGCATTTGTCTGTAAGGACTCTTATACGGAATTTTTGTTATCTATATTACTTTAGTTTATAAAAATACAAAGCAACTTACAGCTTATGTCAGCCTTTCTGTTTGGTTAACAAAATAATTATCACTGGTCTGATATTTCAGACTACTATTCCTCAGCACTGTAATGCATTCCATTTCTAATTTCAACTTTGTAGCTGAAGCTTTCACTGAAATCATCGAAGATGGAACATACGCCATTGCTCGAATATACTTGCAAGCTTTCAGAGGTTAAACACTTATGGTCTATGCATAATCAATGTGTATGGTAGTGCAATTAACGTTAAATTTAATGAAATGCATGAATATTTAAAACTTAATGAATCTGGCTTTGCAGCATGCTTTACAGCCTGGTTCCCATATGTGAACAGTATTGACTGTTGGCCTCTGGATGTCAGCAGTGTATCGCAAAATTCCTGTAATCAGCTGCTGTTTTCCTGCTTCCTCTCAGAAAAATATCTGTGACTTGTGGTCTCTGCACACCTCCAGAACACCCAGCGCTTTTTCCTCTTATAAATTATTCACTTACTCTGTACCAATTAGTTCTACCAGTTGCTAGGTTTGTTATCAAGTTAAGCTTCAAGACAAGAACCTGAACTCAATGAGTGATTAAAAATTTATTAGCAGAGATGATTAAATATGCAGATAGTCTGTGAAGCTTGTTCTTGAAACCATTATATTACCTTTTTAATACTAATGATTTGTATAATTAATTTTAAAAAAGCCTGAAAGTCTTTTAAAAAAAATCAGAGTAGGACATAAAAGGGAAGAGATTAAATGCAGAGGAGGCAGTGAACCTGGGTATTAAAACAGCTCATTCACATGTATGGGCAATAAAGTGATTTCTTTACAGGAACAGTCTGTGGGTTTTTTCCCCCTCTGCTAAGTTGATTATTTTATTAATCTTTGAAGCAATTTGGGAAAACTATCA